GATCTTCGGGTGCGGTTTCGTGTGGGAGAGAACAAGTGGGATGCCTGGTGGAAAAAAATGGTGCATTCTATGCAGGGGTAGTGGAGAATAGGTTGGAGGAAGTTGACATTCGGACGACGGCACAACCACTCGCGAGAGGTCCGGTGTCCGAAGTGTGATAGCGCGGAAGTCATCACAGCATCTACGGCGCGGCCACAGGGAGATGGTTGGCCAGACCGGATTGGGGTAGGCAGACAGTGGTGCGTGCAGCGATAACAGGCGAAAGGTTGGGCTTGCACTCAAAGTTCGATCGCTGCATTTGCTTTTACTCGTTACGTTTGTGAAAACGCATTTCAGCGTTTTGTTTGAGGTTTCATGAGGTAGGGAATCTGATGACGGGCTGGTGGTGCTACCGGCTGGAAAATTTGCACGAGTAAATCTCTCCTTTTCCACGAGCCTTCGCCCTTCAGTCTATTGTCTCCTTGAATTTTTAAGGGCGGTGAACGTCAACAAAAATACATACTATTTAAGTAGTCGTTTTTTACCAAGTGGGGCCTTTGCATTTTCTAGAAAACAGGTACATTCAAAGCCGGCAACCGCAGTAGCGTGTGATTTTGTTGACCGTTAGTTAATATCGCAACTCCCGATTTCTCGGTGATCTTTTTGGATCGAAAACGCATTACAGTCGACATTTCATAAAGCCGGTCACTGACTGTATGTTTTGTGGCCAGACCGTCCATATTAGGTCAGCTTTCGGAGTAAATATACCCTTCGAAGGATGGTTTCCTACCACGCGTTTTCGAATAAAGTGTAACCTCCCCCTCTAAAGTTATTAGGTTTCGATGCAATGCAGTCCCTTGTTTCTACTTCTTCGTCCACCGGAGAGCTTACATGCTTTATTGGGCAGAACGAAACCCGAGCCAATATGCACACAAAAATGTCTGGCCCGCAGTTCTTTCTACCGGGAACTTGGTGACGTCTCCTAGAGAGATTGCCGGACGGAGGTAGTAGTGGATCTCAAATACACATTGCCCGCCAGTTAACCCTTGTGCTTGTAGCGAAACCCACAGGCTATCTGGATTATGGCTGCGAAGTAGACCCTTCTGTCTAAGTTTGAATTAAGGGGAAACTGTCTCTATTAATTGAGTAGTGCATTTCTAGTGACGCAGTTTGTTATCAGGCGATGCACGCATCCCATATTTATCCGTCGCAGCGGGGCAGCTTTTGCGGATAAGGAAACAGACCAGGGCAAATAAATTCAAGTAGCCCTGCCCAGTTATCATACCACACCAATGTCCCTGACCGTCAGCTACGCAGTGGCTACTCAGTGGTCCTTCGCCAGTATCAACACCGGTTAGACCCTTCCACACCTGACAGCTGTCCCGACTGCAGCCTTTCTCCGCATGACTCAGCATTTTTTCGTCTGCAGTTTTTGCCAGGCACCTAACTCATTCCTGCGGACCCTTGGCACAAACCGATCGAGGTCTTGGCTTTTCGCCGTCTTGCAATCAGTTTGGACTCCGGCGGGGACTCTTGATCCAACAAGGGCTACGACACACATACACCATCGGTGTTTACTTTGGCTGCTGGTTGTTAAGCCTCGTATATCGTTGTTTTTTAAATCTCTTCCTCCTCCTAACACGGCTCCCCCCACCCCCTCTTCTGTGTCTC